GGCAACGCTTACACTGGTCTAGTGAACTATTGATTTGCTATGGTTAATAACCTCATCACTTGTACTGATTCACAGTGTAACTGCTCATGGGGCATTCCTGCCTACGGTGAAATAGTAAGTAGTTGTTCCCTATAGGGATCTAGGTAATGCCTAAACTGTTCTAGTGAACTGGTGATTAACTGTGGTTAATAACCTCATCACTTGTACTGATTCAGAGTGCAACTTCTCATGGGGCATTCCTGCCTACATTTATATAGTAAGTAGTTATTCCCTATAGAAATGTAGGCAACGCTTACACTGTTCTAGCGAACTGTTATTTGCTGTGGTTAATAACCTCATCACATGTACTGATTCACACTGCAACTTCTCATGGGGCATTCCTACCTATGTTGAAATAGTAAGTAGTTATTCCCCATAAGGATCTAGGTAACGCTTCCATTGTTCTAGTGAACTGTTGATTTGCTGTGGTTAATAACCTCATCACTTGTACTGATTCACAGTGTAAATTCTCATGGGGCATTCCTGTCTACGTTGATATAGTAAGTACTTGTTCCTTATAGGGATCTAGGTAACGCTTACACTGTTCTAGTGAGCTGCTGATTAGCTGTGGCTAATAACCTCATCGCCTGTACTGATTCATAGTGCAACTCCTGATGTGGCATTCCTGCCTACGTTGATGTAGTAAGTATTTATTCCCTATACGGATCTACGTAACACTTACACTACTCTAGTGAACTGTGTATTAGCTGTGGTTAATAACCTCATCACTTGTACTGAGTCACAGTGCAACTTCTCATGGGCATTCCTGCCCATGTTGATATAGTAAGTAGTTATTCGCTATACGGATAGAGGTAACGCTTATAGTGTTCTCGTGAACTGTTGATTGGCTGTGGTTAATGACCTTATCACCGGTACTGATACACAGAGCAACTTCTCATAGGGCATTCCTGCCTACGTTCATATAGTAAGTAGTTATTCCCTATACGGATCTAGGTAAAGCTTACACCGTTCTAGTCAACTGGTGATTAGCTGTGGCTAATAACCTCATTACCTGTACTGGTTCACAGTGCAACTTCTCATGGGGCATTCCTGCCTACGTTGATATAGTATGTAGTTATTCACTATACAGATATAGGTAACGCTTATAGTGTTCTAGTGAACTGTTGCTTAACTGTGGTTAATGACCTTATCACCTATACTGATTCACAAAGCAACTGCTCATGGGGCATTCCTGCCTACGTTGACATAGTAAGTAGTTATTCCCTATAGGGATCTCGGCAACACTTACACTGTTCTAGAGAACTGTTGATTTGCTGTGGCTAATAACCTCATCACGTGTACTGATTCACAGTGAAACTTCTCATGGGGCATTCCTGCCTACATGGAAATAGTAAGTAGATATTCTCTATATGGATATAGGTAACGCTTACACTGTTCTAATGAACTGCTGATTAGCTGTGGTTAATAACCTCATCACCTGTACTAATTCACGCTGCAACTTCTCATGGGGCATTCGTGCCTACGTTGAAATAGTAAGTAGTTCTTCCCTATACGGATCCAGGTAACGCTTGCACTGTTCTAGTGAACTGCTGATTAGCTGTGGTTAATAACCTCATCACTTGTATTGATTCACAGTGCAACTTCTCATAGGTCATTCTTGCCTACGTTGATATAGTAAGTAGTTATTCCCTATACGGATCTAGGTAAAGCTTACACTGCTCAAGTGAACTCTTGATTAGCTCTGGCTAATAACCTCATCACTTGTACTAATTCATAGTGCAACTTCTCATGGGGCATTCCTGCCTACGTTGAAATAGTAAATAGATATTCCCTATACGGATCTAGGTAACGCTTACACTGTTCTAGTGAACTGCTGATTAGCTGTGGTTAATAACCTCATCGCCTGTACTAATTCACGCTGCAACTTCTCATGGGGCATTCGTGCCTACGTTGAAATAGTAAGTAGTTCTTCCCTATACGGATCCAGGTAACGGTTGCGCTGTTCTAGTGAACTGCTGATTAGCTGTGGTTAATAACCTCATCACCTGTATTGATTCACAATGCAACTCCTCATGTGGCATTCCTGCCTACGTTGATGTAGTAAGTAGTTATTCCCTATATGGATCTACGTAACGCTTACACTACTCTAGTGAACTGTTGATTATCTGTGGTTAATAACCTCATCACCTGTACTGATTCACAGTGCAACTTCTCATGGGGCATTCCTGCCTACGTTAATATAGTAAGTAGTTATTCGTTATACGGATCTAGGTAACGCTTATAATGTTCTCGTGAATTGTTGATTAATTGTGGTTAATGACCTCATCACCTATACTGATTAATAAGGAAACTTATCAGGGGCATTCCTGCCTACGTTGACATAGTAAGTAGTTATTCCCTATACGGATCTAGGTAATGCTTACATTGTTCTAGTGAACTGCTGATTAGCTGTGGTTAATAACCTCATCACTTGTACTAATTCACACTGCAGCTTCTCATGGGGCATTCCTGCCTACGTTGATATGGTAAGTAGTTATTCCCTATACAGATCTAGGTAATGCTTACATTGTTCTAGTGAACTGGTGATTAGCTGTGGTTAACAACCTCATCACTTGTACTGATTCACATTGCAACTTCCCATGGGGCATTCCTGCCTACGTTGATATAGCAAGTAGTTATTCCCTGTGCGAATCTTGGTAACGCTTACATTGTTCTAGTGAACTGTTGATTAGCGGTGGTTAATAACCTCATCACTTGTACTGATTCACAATGCAACTTCTCATAGGGCATTCCTGCCTACGTTGATATAGTAAGTAGTTATTCCCTATACGGATCTTGGTAGCGCTTACGCTGTTCTAGCGAACTGTTGATTAGCTGTGGTTAATAACCTCATCACTTGTACTGATTCACAGTGCAACTTCTCATGGGGCATTCCTGCCTACGTTGATATAGTAAGTAGTTATTCTCTATATGGATCTAGGTAACGCTTACACTACTCTAGTGAACTGTTGATTAGCTGTGGTTAATAAACTCATCACTTGTACTGATTCACAGTGCAACTTCTCATGAGACATTCCTGCCTATGTTGAAATAGTAAGTAGTTATTCCCTATACGGATCTAGGTAACGCTTACACTGTTCTAGTGAACTGCTGATTAGCTGTGGTTAATAACCTCATCACTTGTACTGATTCATAGTGCAACTTCTCATGGGGCATTCCTGCCTACGTTGAAATAGTAAATAGATATTCCCTATACAGATCTAGGTAACGCTAACACTGTTCTAGTGAACTGCTGATTAGCTGTGGTTAATAACCTCATCGCCTGTACTAATTCACGCTGCAACTTCTCATGGGGCATTCGTGCCTACGTTGAAATAGTAAGTAGTTCTTCCCTATACGGATCCAGGTAACGGTTGCGCTGTTCTAGTGAACTGCTGATTAGCTGTGGTTAATAACCTCATCACCTGTATTGATTCACAGTGCAACTCCTCATGTGGCATTCCTGCCTACGTTGATGTAGTAAGTAGTTATTCCCTATATGGATCTACGTAACGCTTACACTACTCTAGTGAACTGTTGATTATCTGTGGTTAATAACCTCATCACCTGTACTGATTCACAGTGCAACTTCTCATGGGGCATTCCTGCCTACGTTAATATAGTAAGTAGTTATTCGTTATACGGATCTAGATAACGCTTATAATGTTCTCGTGAATTGTTGATTAGCTGTGGTTAATGACCTTATCACCTGTACTGATTAATAAGGAAACTTATCAGGGGGCATTCCTGCCTACGTTGACATAGTAAGTAGTTATTCCCTATACGGATCTAGGTAATGCTTACACTGTTCTAGTGAACTGCTGATTAGCTGTGGTTAATAACCTCATCACTTGTACTAATTCACACTGCAGCTTCTCATGGGGCATTCCTGCCTACGTTGATATGGTAAGTAGTTATTCCCTATACAGATCTAGGTAATGCTTACATTGTTCTAGTGAACTGGTGATTAGCTGTGGTTAACAACCTCATCACTTGTACTGATTCACATTGCAACTTCCCATGGGGCATTCCTGCCTACGTTGATATAGCAAGTAGTTATTCCCTGTGCGAATCTTGGTAACGCTTACATTGTTCTAGTGAACTGTTGATTAGCGGTGGTTAATAACCTCATCACTTGTACTGATTCACAATGCAACTTCTCATAGGGCATTCCTGCCTACGTTGATATAGTAAGTAGTTATTCCCTATACGGATCTTGGTAGCGCTTACGCTGTTCTAGCGAACTGTTGATTAGTTGTGGTTAATAACCTCATCACTTGTACTGATTCACAGTGCAACTTCTCATGGGGCATTCCTGCCTACGTTGATATAGTAAGTAGTTATTCTCTATATGGGTCTAGGTAACGCTTACACTACTCTAGTGAACTGTTGATTAGTTGTGGTTAATAAACTCATCACTTGTACTGATTCACAGTGCAACTTCTCATGAGACATTCCTGCCTATGTTGAAATAGTAAGTAGTTATTCCCTATATGGATCTAGGTAACGCTTACACTGTTCTAGTGAACTGCTGATTAGCTGTGGTTAATAACCTCATCACTTGTACTGATTCACAGTGCAACTTCTCATGGGGCATTCCTGCCTACGTTGATATAGTAAGTAGTTATTCCCTGTACGGATCTAGGTAACACCTAAACCCTTATAATGATTCCTTCAATCAAAGTAGTGAATGAATATGATTATTTAGTGTGCACTACTAACTACAAATCAGTGACTAGTTATTTGCCTAAACGAATATAGGTAACGCTTAAAATGTTATAGTGATCCTTTAAATAAATACAGGTACTCAACTTAATAACAAGTCATAACTTGATAATCACCCTGAATTTGATCATGTACATTACTGGTACAACATCATCCCCCATGAAATTACATGGTTACTTTTCATGTAACATTTGCAACTTGTCCTATACACATGTAAATACTAATTCTTGGCACTCCTACTTAGTTGATCGTTGTCGTTTGTTTTTTCTAATATCCTCTTGTTCCTCCAATAGCATTAAGGTAGCATCACGACAGGCATTGTTAGGATGATTAACTATCCACCACATTAGATCGCATCTAAATTGAGCCACTTGATCCTGCACAGACATTGAATTGCTCGTCACACAGGGCAATAGTCAATCACAACGAACAATCATTAATTACATAAAACATACAGGAGTATAATTAAGCGCCGCCTGTGGATGCCACGATTTTAACCATAGCATAACATAGACTCCACAGTCTTTGCTGCACACAGCATGTCATAAAGTGTTAACAATTTTCCTCAACAACATCCAGGCAACCAATGGATTTGAAAAAGAACAAAGTTAATCACACTCACATGTTGTTTTGTTTTGCAACATCAGGATAAATGATATCAACCTTTGGCTTCTTCCCAATCAACTTTGTCTGAATCAATTCTATAATATCGTGAAACCGGTCCCGCTGCATAAAACAATAGTAATCAATGAAATAAAAATTTTCCAGATTAATTATAAACAATAATTGGTACATACACAAATGTTGTGGAACTTTTCCATATCATCAGCAATTGTTCCCTTCTACTTGTTCTTTTTCTTTGGCTGCCTGCTAACATATAGGTTCAGTGAATCCAGCACGTAGAAGTTTATGACCTTAGGCTCTAGCATAAAGCAGAACCAGTGTTGGTCTACAAGTACTGGTCCCAAAATCAAGTCACAATCCCCAATGTTGTAACCAACATCTTGCTCCTGTAGTTCCTTCTCGCTCACTGCAACACTCCACCCTGGACTACAAAATATGACACTATAAGCATATTGACATAAACTATCACTGAAATAAAGTAATGTTACAGCAACCTTACCATAAAGTAGGCATCAAATATGTGTCGTCTAACTTGTCCACCCCCCTCTTTTATTTCTCCCATCAGCATGCGGCACACTATTGACATGACCTATTTCACACATCAGAAAATTAGTAAGTTTCAGCTTGCACAGCATCTGTTATAAACAATCGCTAATCAGGTGGAGATTTCATTACATGGTTACTAACTCTATGCATTCCACCCAATGACCTTAGATCATCATGAGTTACATGGAAGTCATACAACTCAACCAACCTCCTACAGATCAAGTACTCATTTTGCTTAGACAGGCCAGAAAAAATTTCATTCACATTTATTTAATAGCAATAAAATGCTTACTTGTCACCATCAGCTGAACTAGACATTTTGGAGACAGTGATGAAAATTTTTCCTTATCATCCATCTTCCGATTTGTTCTCTTTGCAACCTTAGGCACAACCCAGGGAGACTGTAGTTTTGGGGCGGGCTTCATCGGCCTTTTTGATCTCCTTACTTGTTCTGCCTTGTCCAGTAACTCCTCTTTATCCGATACTCCTCCTTCAACATCTAGGTGAATCATGGTGATAGGAGATAATTGCAATGATAGTTGTTCAATATCTTCCTCTTCACCTTCTTCCTCCTCAATATCATGTTCAGAATCTTCATTTTCTCCATCACCATCCTTGTCCTTCTCGCCATCATCTTCCCCATCACCATCCTTGTCCTTCTCGCCATCATCTTCTCTATTAGCTTCACCTTCAAGTTGTTCTTCCTCATGGGGCCGTACATGGCTTATATTGTTAGATTTAGGCCTGTACTCCCTTCTCAGTTGTACCTTCATCAGCTCAGTGTCAATGATAGCCACAAGTTTGTTGTTGTTTTCTCTAATCATCCCCACCAACCTCTCACACAGATCCTTCAACTCCTATAGGAAACCAAAAAAATATTCAGTATGTATCGTCATTTGAAAAATATTTGGGAAGGTCATAGAAGTTTGTAAACATGACATATTACTATGTAATATAAACAAAATCATTATTTAACAAGGTTGCCTTTACCGGGTCTAGATAAGGTACAGATTCGCTTCCTCCCTTATTATCAAGCACTCCAGCACGTCCTTTTGAATAGAGGAGTCCAATGCGGCTCTTTCTTTTTTTATTACTCATTTTGTTGACCCTCTTATCCGTTGATAGCATACCAAGAAGTGTTCAATATGGAGGTCTTGAAGCCCAAGAAATGCTCATCCAGTTAGAGGCCTAACCAGCCCTCCAAAGTGCTCAAAGGATTTATAGTTTCATAATGCTTACATGGAGGATGATATGGATCATTGCTTGGACGATGACATGGATACATGTGAAGCTTAACGTGACATATGGAAGGCCACCCCGAAAGCCACCATGGCATGTGAGTTATTAGAGTGTAAACACTTGGACCTTAAGAAAAACAAGAGTACGTTCTAAGAGCCCAAAAGGAGATTTAAAGCCAATTCCTATGTAATTAAAGGCCCAACACAATTATATGTACCTGGAGGAGTCCATTAGAGCTATAATCTTTTAAATTGGGGCCTAAATGCATTGTGTTATGGACCATAGGAGTTCCAGAACGTGATTCAACCATATTCAAGCCTAAGTGGGTGTCTAAAAGGCCCATACATGCTTATGGACGTGAATAGCAATTATAAAGATCCATTTGGAAGGTTCAAGAAGATTCAAGAAGCATTAAGAGTGATCTTATATGATATTAAATAGGATTCTATTTGTTTTAATTAGTTTCCTATTTTACAGTTTCCTATTTTGTATTGATTGCTTCTTGAAGGAGAAAAAAAATAGAAAATCTCATTAATTAATAAAAAAAAAACTCAGTAATGTAATATTAATATTTAATATTAAAATACTTACTTATTTTGTATTGCATTAATGAGTAGAGAGTCAAATAATATCCTTCTCATTAATGAAGGGATCCTGCTAGGTAGTGTGTGATCTAGATTATTCTATCTTGACAAGCAAGTTAGAGTATTCTAGAAAGTCTTTTGATTTTCCTAATTTTGTTGTATTTTCGCATCTATTTTTGATGCATTTTTATTTACTTAGTGTTTTAGGCTCTAAAAACTTATATTGGGCTTTTAGGGCTTAGGTTATCAATTAGGGTTTTCATTTTAGGGTTTTCAAGAGTCTTAGTCTATAAATAATTCAGTGTGTACTCTTTTCAGAGAAAGAGATGATTTTGGATAATTAATAAAATGAGAATTTTATTTCTCCTTATGTGAGCCTTGCTTGCATCCTCGTATTCTCGTGAGAATACTCGACAGTATCAAGGAAGTGATCAACCTTGTGATGTCTTCATGGCTAGGGTTGTAAGAGACAGGTTCTCTTAAGGTCCTACCTCGATCATTCGTCCGATTCCTTGTGTTTGGGGTTACAAGAGGCAGGTTCTCTTGGGGTCTCATTCCATTCCTATACTTGATTCTAGCTAGTCCGTTCGCTCTCCTCTCATATCATCAGTCCAGAATGATATGGCCTCAGTGTGGTCATGCTTTGCACTTTCAGTTATAGGAAAATATTCAAGCAAGTATAGCTGTATCACCAATTAAATGACATTAAAACTATTATCATGGCAAAACAATAACCAATAAGAAAGATGCATACCAGTAGGAGGTATATATGCATTCACCAACATTGCAGCTGCCATCCTGCTTCCTCACAACCCTCAAATAATCTTCCATCTCCTTCGACAGCTCTTGCATCACGAACATAGCCCAATCATGTTCCACAAATGAATCCTTTGTTGCAGCCACCACCTTTATCAGTCGCTCACTTACTCTTCTACTAGCGTGTGGAGCATAAACAACATTTTAAATTCATCACCCTTCTTCTGTCCAGTTGTTATCACCTTCAAAATATCCGTACAAGACTTCCGGTAATAATTAAGCCTAAGGCTTATAAATGCAGGGTCGTGCTCACTAACTTCAGATGTTACCTCTCTTCCCCCAACATGGGGTATGCCCAGGAGCATTTGCACGTCTATTGCTTCCAGTTTTCTAGAGATCCCCCTAATGAGAAATTGCTGCATTGGTGGATCATATGAACGCATCATAGCAGCACATATGTCTCGAGGGAGTCTATGAAGTCTCAACTCTAGCAACCTTGACAACCCCATTGCTTGAACCTCTTCCTTCAGATCCTTGTTGTCCTTAACATATGTTGCCAAGGAAATGAACTGTCCTAGTGCACTACGGCAATGAAAAGGAAGCTGGTAGTTGCTCATTGTTGCCTTCGGTGGCCTTGTTTTCTTTGCCTCATCTTTATATCTCTGTCTCTCTAATTCAGGTATTTCTTTCCATGCCTTCGTCACTGCTTTAGTACATTGGGTCATATTCTTGAACTTCTTCTTACACTTCTTCATGAACTCGGCTCTAAACAAAAGCAACCCGCTCCTCACAGGTTTACATGGACCTTGTTCATCAGCTGACATATTTGTTATCCTGCAACAACCATCAATTTTCATCAACAACCATCATCACCTAATCCATTCAAACATTTCTATAACAAGAGGAAAACTGAACGTGTCTAGTAGACTTGCAGGAAACTAGTTTAATTTCAATGAAGTTTGCTCCAGAATACAAAAATAAATCCTCAACAATTCAAATACATGATCTGCCGTGACTTAATAAGAAGCAGACCCAATTAGGAATATTTTTGGTTGAACTGAAAAATTGTTTTTAGACGGTGCATAGAAATAGTGGACTCTAATAATCAAGGATATATTATTTCCCTCCACCCTCACTCAGCAGCCATGCTTAACTTAGGAAGAACGACCTTAGAAACTTTGTTCTACAGGTCTGTCTGCTTCCAAAATAGTGATGTCCAAGCAAAATGATGCAATAGAACAATTATATATATTCATATCAAACGAAACAATGCAGCCTTTAACAGAAAAAATGATATCCAGAATAGAATGCAAATCAGAACTCATTCGCAATAATCAAAACACTTTAAGAGTGAGTTCATGAACAATAGCCAGAAGAAGTTGGGAATCCCCACAAGGTCAGTTTTGCAAGCTGTATATTCAAATTACTTCCTTTGTAACAACCTCGCCACCTTGCCACTAAAAGAATGTAGTGTGATTTTCTTGGATTTTTTCAGGAACAAAACATTTTGCTATAGAATCAACAAGTGCTTGAGATAACAGTATATGTAAAAAAAGAGATCAACTACAAATGAAATGAAAAAATGTTAATCAAGCCGAGAAAGAAAGGAAGGGAGGGAACCTGAATCAGTTCTTTCATAGTGACTAAAAGAAGGAAAGAAATAAGTGCCGATGCCCTAATTTCCCTTCTTCTTCTACCACCGGATTTGCTTCTTCTACCACATGCGACTGCCAGCCCTCTCCTCTCTTGCCGAAATCTACCTTCTTCATGGACAAAAATGGCTCCCTCCATAATGTTTTCCTCTCTCGTTGCTTCCCGCTTCTCGCTCGGTTTCCGCAATTCCCACCCGTTGCTTTGCTGCCTTCGTTCGTTTTGTTTAAAATTGAAATAAGGGTAAATTTGTCCATTCCCCTTCATTTTGCAAATGACAGATTGGGTCATTGACCCAATCTATCATTTTTACAATTCCAGGACCCATTCTGGAATTGTATATATTCCAAGGGCTTTATCTGACATTTTTCCTTGTCTTTATCTTCCCATATTCCCAATTAATGTAGCGTCCTTTTTTAACACACCCACACAAATATCACAACACATCAAAGACAAGTTACTGGGTTTTCTTCTCAACTGCAGAAAACTAGAAAAATGATTCAATATTTCAAATTTCAGGGGTTCAAATATATATATGGAGGCCGAAGGTTTTTTGCTTTGCTTGAAGTAGAGGACGGCTTGGGGAGTGGTGCATCGACTGGGGATCATCCGATGGGTTTTGGTCAGGTTAACTTTTCTACTCTAAATAATGAGTTGATTCATCAGGTTCAAGTTCATTGCACTCGTGACGACCATCAAGTTTTGGACAATGGCGAACCATCTTTAGAGGTTCCAAGTTTCATCGAGCTTTTAGCCAAAAAAGCCTCAATAGAAGTGCTATGAGGACTGCTCTGATGACCTTTATGCATGGGATGAGTAGTGCCATGCTTGGAGTCTTTTTGTTCAGGCTAATATTTGGTTCTCTGTCGGGGTGTTTTTAGTTTGCTATTAGTTTCGTTTCTATTTTGGAGTTGCATGTGGCTTTGATCTTGAGGTTTGACTGGTCTCGGCTCATAACGCCAAATGGGACCACATTTCTGTGTAGCGTTGGCTGCTATCACCAGCTACCTTCATTTTGAAGGTGTTCTTCGCCTTGTGCGATCATCAACTCCCAAGGGAGATATTCTGAGGTGCTATTTCCAGTTCGTTCTCTTATGTCCAATTCGAGCATCCATAGGTTCGAGCATCTAATGATGGAACTTGAAGCTGCATGTTTTGCTATTTTAGTTTACTTTGTTTCTCTAGTTTTTCTGGTTTTCATGATTCTTTTTGCTTTCTTGCAATCTTGGGCTAGCCTACTCTATTGGATTCTATGAGCTTTCCTCGAATGGGCTGGATATGATGAGCGGGCCTGTTAATTATAATCTTTTTTCTTTGTCTTTTGTCAAAAGAAAGAAGTAGGCTTGAGCCTGTGATTTTTTTAATTTTTTTTAAAGATTAATATAATGTTTGATTTTTTTAAGTTTATTCTTCTTTTGGTTTTGTTTACTCCTGAATTTTGAGGTTAGAAATATCATATTTAGTCTGAAATAGGCAGGCTACCAGAACCTTTTTAGCAGGAGTCCTAGAAGTTTCCTAAAAGGACAAGAAGATTTTTAGGGATTAAATCGTAAAGAATTTTCTGGAACCACTAGATAGGCAAACTCTGATGAAGTCTCGAGGGCTCGAGTATGGGAATTGGAGATGGTTAAGAGCCAAAGATTGTGTTGGGAAACTCAATAAGATGATTTCTGAGACTAAACCCGAGTAGAAACCTAATCGTAAATTCAAAAAGTATTGAGTTGAAAATGGTAATTTTTCACTTTCTTGGAATGTACCTCGTTGAGCTTGGATTGGTAGTTTTTTTTGTTTTTAATACAAAAAAAGTTAGGTGAGTTGGTTCCCTGGAACTCACTAGAGTCAGGGTATACCACCAGACTCAAAAAATATTTACAAAAGTATTTATAAATCGTCTACTAATAATTTTCTCACATCAACAGTGAAATTAGAACTCACGAACCTCCTGGATAATTGGACCAACTCGTGTCAGCCTTGAGCAGGAGAGTTGATTATTATTGGCGCTACCAGGCGAGTGGACATTTTAGTCTTTTCATAATTGGTTCTGGTTCTCATGGCGGTAGGTATGCCTATAAATTTTACCTGTAACTTATTTGAAAAGCCAGACCCGGCAAGGGGACGTCGAAGATTTCATTTTGAACTCGAAGTGGCTCTCATGTCTTAACGATGGAGGACGAGGCTGATATATACGATGGTGTTAGAGCTCAATTCCCTCTTAGTTTTGGAAAGCAGTCCAAGTCACAGACCTCTCTTGAAGCCATCCACAATGCCACTCGTCGTTCCAGTTCCAATCTCAGCTCTGATCCCTCTGCAGCGACCACCCACACCAAAAGTACCAATGACCTCCCTTCTATCTCATCCTCTTCCAAGTCCTGGCTTCTTTCCCTCCGCAACTCTAAAATCCCTAACCCTGATCCTACCGCCGATCGTGGTGGGGGTTCTTCCACGATGGGACCGCCTCGGCCGCCTCTACCCGTGGAATCTGATGAGGACGGCGGTGTTATGGTCGGACCGCCTCGGCCGCCTGAGGAAAAAGACGATGATAGTGCGATGATTGGGCCTCCTCCACCTCCTGTTGGTTTGGGTTCCGGCGAAGAAGGGGATGACGATGGGGAGATGATTGGCCCGCCAAGACCTCCCCCTAGTTCGAATTTGGGTGCGTCAACTTCTGAGGATGATTCAGACGAAGATGAGGTGGGGAATCGGTTTCGAATTCCGCTCAGTAACGAGATTGTTCTCAAGGGACACACCAAGGTATTAGTGTCTTAATTACCTTTCTTTACCTGGGGATGGCACCAACCGACATATAATGTGATTGCATTATGTTCAATTTTTTCGCCTTTCCTGCCATCTTTTATGTTCAAAATTCGGAAGTTTTTGTTGATTGGTTGTCTTTCACTTGGCATATATGGCGCTATATTATATGGCAGTGTGTACCTCTTGAAGTAAATTTGTTGCAAGTCTAACTATTAGTAATGTTCTTTAAATCTGTCAATGATGTGGTAAGACATGATTCTGTAGTTGCGGTCCTACAGCGTATTATGAAAGAAAATGAAATGTTGCAAATCATTGTAATGGCTGTTTAGGAATGAAAAGTTGAGTGATAGATGTAACCTTTAACAGGTTGTGTCGGCTCTTGCTGTGGATCACTCTGGGTCTAGAGTGCTTTCTGGAAGTTATGACTATACAGTGCGTATGTATGACTTTCAAGGAATGAATTCACGGTTGCAATCATTTCGACAATTGGAGCCATTTGAAGGTCATCAAGTTCGCAACCTAAGCTGGAGTCCGAGTGGAGATCGCTTTTTGTGTGTAACAGGGTCAGCTCAAGCAAAGGTAATGCATTAGCATGACAGCTATTCTTTTTCTGTTTCTGTTATGCTTTTAGTGGTCTGCCATCCATAAGCTTGTCTTTCTTTTGCAACAGATCTATGATCGAGATGGGCTTACTTTGGGAGAGTTTGTGAAGGGGGACATGTATATCCGTGATCTTAAAAACACTAAAGGCCACATATCTGGATTGACGTGGGGAGAATGGCACCCAAAAACCAAGGAAACAATTTTAACATCATCAGAGGATGGATCACTGCGCATATGGGATGTAAATGACTTCAAAAGTCAGAAGCAGGTTTGCATAATGTTGGTTCAATCATCTGTGGCAATATGCTCTCCCTAGAGGGGTTCCATGCATATGCATATCTGTCTGCGGGCGTCGATCTTGATATCTAAAAGGATAGTTTATGATTTTAAAACAAGTTCTCTCATAAAATCCCCCAAGCCCCTGCTACCCCCAAAAAAAAAAAAGGAAAAAGGAGAAGAAGGGAAAAAAAAAAAACACCATAGGGATGGGGAAGGCTGAGGATGCTTGTTCGTATTATAGGTTTTAATTAAATTTAGGCTAAATTTATGATCATTGTGAATTTTAACAAAACATTTGAAAAGAATTATTTTATGGATTAATATCACCCAATAATTATTTTTGTTGACTTATCTCTTCATAATGGAGATATTATTTGTTTTTCTGTGTGACAAAGGAAGATTGATGATTAATGTAATAATGACCGGACATTATTAAATGAATGTACCTGAATCATGCACATGTGTTGGCTTGCGTGCATATTTATGTTTCCCACAACCTTTACAATTTATTGATGTTACTGAAGCTAAGCAATGCAACTCTCTCATTTCATGGGTAGGTTATCAAACCAAAGCTTGCAAGACCTGGAAGAGTTCCTGTCACAACATGTGCATGGGATCGTGAAGGTAAATGCATTGCTGGTGCTATAGGAGATGGTTCTATACAGGTACCTCTTTTTGTTCCTTTCTCTCCGTCTTCAATGGGGGAACAAGTGGATAATTCTATGCAGTTTTCAAAATTAATGTGTCCTCGATACTAATTTTTGAATGCTTGATCCATTTATTTTCACAGATTTGGAGTATTAAGCCTGGATGGGGAAGTAGGCCAGATATATATATTGACAAAGGCCATTCTGATGATATTACTGGTCTGAAATTTTCTGGTGATGGAAGAGTTTTACTGTCAAGAAGCTTTGATGGTTCATTGAAGGTAAATGTCAATAGCTTTAAGCCTGAGGATCAGATACTCTTGTTCTATTTCAAAGTCATTGACATACTTTTATCAAATTTGCTTGAATTCTCCTCTTATATGTCTTAGGTATGGGATTTGCGCAAAATAAAGGAACCTCTAAAGGTATTTGAAGATCTTCCGAATAATTATGGGCAAACAAATGTTGCTTTTAGCCCTGATGAACAACTGTTTTTTACCGGAACATCTGTTGAAAGAGAGAGTTCAAGTGGAGGTTTATTGTGCTTTTATGATTGTACAAACCTTGAGCTCGTTTCAAGAGTTGGCATATCGGCCACTTGTAGTGTTGTGCAATGTGCTTGGCATCCTAAACTGAATCAGGTATGTTAACATCATGTGTAATTTATGCTGAACATGTTTGTAATTTTGTCTTCACCTAGAAACACGGTTGCTTATGATTACAAACCCTCTTGAAACTATATTAGATCTTTGCAACTGTTGGTGACAAAGGCCAAGGAGGAACTCATATACTATATGATCCAACCATCAGTGAGAGAGGAGCTCTTGTTTGTGTCGCACGTGCACCGAGGAAGAAGTCCATTGATGATTTTGAGGCAAAACCGGTTGTTCACAATCCTCATGCCCTGCCACTATTTAGAGATCAGCCAAGCCGTAAACGTCAGCGAGAGAAAATACTGAAGGATCCATTGAAGTCTCATAAGCCTGAACTTCCAATAACGGGGCCCGGGTTTGGTGGGCGAGTTGGTGCAAGTCAAGGAAGCTTGCTGACTCAATATCTTCTGAAGGTATTGCTCTTTTTTGAGCATTCTGTTATCTCATTTTTCTCAACTCATGAGCGTTCTTGTTTTGTAGTGACATTGAGAAGATATTTATATCTTATATGTACTTCTTGCAGAAAGGGGGCATGATTAAGGAGACGTGGATGGAGGAAGATCCGAGAGAAGCCATCCTGAAATATGCTGGTGTTGCAGCTAATGATCCAAAATTCATTGCTCCAGCATATGCAAAAACCCAGCCTGAGCCTGTTTTCCAAACTTCAGATTCTGACGAGGAAGAGAAATAATTGGGTTACAATGCTATATTCTCTTGGCACTAGAGCATTATCAGCTAGGGTAGCAAGGGTGACTGGAAATAAAAGGGACCTCTTCCAGAATATTTGAGGATTGAGCATGGCGGAGGAAGGCTCCTTACCTCATTCCCTGAATCAACACCATCTATTTCCCCTTCTAAGGTTATGAGAGCCATCTGATAAGATTAAGAACATAAGAATGAGACTTATTTGGAACATCTAGAACTTCGGAGTATGTCTTCTCTCCACCTCAAAAGGCCGCCAGTGTGGTCTGCTGGTTCAGCTGTACATTGGAATCAACGAACGTCGTTTTGTACTATTAGAGTTGTGCTGTGAGAACATCCATCAGAAGTTAGAACACTAATAACTCTGTTCTGTGCTTTTTTGGTAATGTTTTGTTCTCTCTTCGCTGATTTTAATTCAGTTGGTAGAGCCCTGATGCCCTGTTACGGTTTATTGTATTGTATCTTTTTATTTATTTATAAATTGGTTTCTGTGAAAAATTGTTAGAGCTGGATGTGGGGGAGAAAAAAGGTGGCATGAAAATTTTTTTTTTTTGGTAAAGCAGAAGTATCCTCTTATCGGAAGCAATCCTATTCGAGACACTATTGGACACTAAATGTGGATATCTCTCCCAGTGGGAATTCGAATCTTGGTTCGTCATATTATGAGGGGCTAGTTTTTTTTGTTAGACCCAACTCCTGTTGGTGGCATGAATTAATGGCTAGTCTTGAAGTTGGATCTTGAAAACTACTCTTACCTGTGGGTTGTGGCTTTTTGGTTAGTAGCAAAGTACCCTATGGGGAACTTACTTTCCTGCAAATTTTATGATACGGTATACAATTTTGTCTATTAGGAATAAGAACTAGTTAACTAATTTAAAGAGATTAAAAAATTAAATAAATTAATCTAAAATATTATATTTATTGTTTTTTTCAAACTAATTTGTCTAACTTATAAATTAATATATAATTTAATTATATATTAATATTTTTTTAAGTAGTTAATAAGTTTTATATTGAGAAAAAATATAGAAGTTACAACAAAATCAATTATATTCATTTTGACCGAGACATTCTCACAAAAGATAATTCTTTAATTGTGCCACATCATGCATTGTGGCACATAACACCACTATCACCATTATGTAGAATCATCAACCTAATGTGAACTTTTTTTTTTGGGATAAAAAAATCTAGTATAAACTTTGACGATGTATAACTCTTGATCAAGGTATCAGAGACTAGATCAAACTAGTTGAGTTGACTTGAAAAATAGCAATCAAGCTACTTGGCTAGTTTGGTCAAGCTTCTAACCTTGGATAAGTTTTGATTTGAATGACCTATCATAACTCAGGTGACTTATGATGTTAGACAAGTAATCTGACCCATTGGTCCTTAAACCACGATTTTAATTAGTCCAATATGTAGTTAGGTTTTTAATACCTTACTTTTAACACATAATACTTATTAGTGTGTGAAAATATCTAACTATAATGGCACTGATTTCATACTAAAATTCATTCATTGAAAAAGTTAGACACCCGAGACCATATACAACATTTTGTACCTTAGACACGTCAAAGGCCCTAAAATACAAATCAATGCCATTCGCCACAACATGGACCTCGAACCAACTTCGAAGAGTCATAGGAACACAAATCTAAATCATCAAATTCAGCCCAAACAGTATACTTGACGACTTGAAAGTTGAAACCATAAGACATACAAATTCTACAGTGAAAACAGACACAACCTTCCAAACATAACTTCAAGCCTTCAAACCATAGTTAAATCATCCAAATATATTTGTTCAAATCATTAACATTCCCAAAAGTAGCCATTCATGCAAAAACCCATGTTTGATCATAAGTAGCAACCGACAGAAATTCAACTGTGTCAAATTTGGGCATATTATGACAAAAAGGCCCTATAGTTTGGAAATATATAAATGTTTAAACACTAGTAACTCTAAGTGGGAAGGCATTATAATAAACTACTAAGCCTTACACGTCTAAAGAAAGCTAGCTCTAACTAAATTTTCAAGCAAAAGAAATTATAAAAGTAGGGAACTGTACTGAATAGGAAATAATCTCATAAGTCTAAACCTAATCTAAATCATTTATTTTATACATAATATAAATTCTAATTAAAATTGGAATAAATATAACCATAAAATTGATGATAATCTTCCTAATCCTATGGTAGATTTCAATTATCTTTCATTAATATCATTTTCGATCACACTCGGAAATATTATCCTATGGTAGAAGTGGGGAGCCCCTTTGGTGTGGTCAATACTTGACTCTCGTTTAAGAGGGAAATTATCGGTATCTTAAGTGCGAGTGGACTTAACATAGGAAAGCGGGAAAAGTCTCACAGAAGATAAAGTTTGGCAGAAAAACTCAATGCCTTAAATATTTTGGATTGAGATGGGGTGTCATGCCCATCTACAAGCGTCAACTTATTTGTTGTGGGACCTAGTTGCTCTCTCCTCTCTTTGGGATGCTTCTTAGGGTCGAGATACAATATACATAAAATTGGGAAATGAAACATCCGTCCCTATTAGTTTGAGGCAGTTTTGGTTTTAGTCCCTGATGTTTAATATTTTTGGACCAGATCCTTAAAGTTTTTTCCGTCTGCACCTTTACTCCCTCCACTTTCAAATATTGTTTCGAGGACTGACAGCTGGCACTAACGCTGTTAAATCTGCTAATGTGTCTAAGAGCACTTACATAACCACCATTTTGGACTGACACATGGAAGTCTTCTAAGTTGCCAGAAAATTTTGAGAAAAAAATGTAATGAAAAGAAAGCTACAGAGAAGGAGTTGGCTATGAGGGGTTTGACTTGGTTTGGGTGTTTTTTTCTTTTTGTTAAATAAGCTTGACAATCTCTATTACTACTGAGATGCTTCAACTTTCATTGACTGAACATGAATTACATGATTAAGAAGTGCTAGTGTTATGTTCAAGACTCGACCTTAACCAATAGAAAGAAAGAAGTTTGAATGTGTAAGCAACATAGGAGAAAGTAGGAAGAAAGAAAAGGTACCTCTAAGTACTTGAATTCAACAACATGATTACCCTGTTTTAGCACCACGAAACAGAGGTCAATGAAATTGAGTTTCACTTTCCCATACATCAATTGCGACTATAATCCTATATTACTTCTTCAATTTTTCTTTTAAAAAAGCATTAAGTATTACCAACGGAGTCAGGAAATTGAATTAATTTTTCATTTCAACAAGGGTCATAAAATGATGAAACATAATACTCCTGCGTGCTAAATATAAAACCTAATTTATACTATAAAAAAATAGGTTTTATATTTAGCATGTGAAACTTCACCAGATATTTTCATAATAAGTGTGCCAAATTTTGAAGCTTTCTACATAGGCACCATATATTACATCAAGGCACTCTTTGTAATTGTTCCTGTTAGAAAATAGCTTAATTGATAGTACAATCAATCACACTCAAATTTAAAGTTAGAAAAAAGCAATTTCATTCCAATCAAAATAATTCATCACTCACATTATCATTGCAACAGGAATCATCATATTACAACACCAAGCCAATCACCTAATAGCAATGAATGTAGAAGATGACGACCAAACTGAACAAGGAAAATGAGGAGTGCTGATTGAGAGATCGAAGAACACGGGAGAAGATGAAGATGAAAATTAGGGAGAGCCAGCGATTGTCAACTTTTAGAGGTCATTATTCAGTATAAGAAATTTCGAAGGCACCTCACATTCGCTCAAAAAATATCTGTCCATTTTTAATTTCGTACTTTTTTTATTAATTTAGAGTTTTAATGGATAAGTCATTGACGCATTGTGCAGAGCCATAGTGGGAGAAGATTACTAGCTCGCGACACAACCTTTGAGAACATGGCCGGCCATGCAAAGCGCCAAGTCGTCGCCCTCTGGATAGGTGCCGACTTCGCTGCCTTCAACCAGTGTTACTTCCTCGCTTAACAGGACAACCTCTACGTCCACTGCAACAGCCAGTTCTTTAACAACTGCCTCTGTCAAGTGTAACATAGGCTTTCTGTTAGATAATTTATATTGCTAGAAATTAGTTACAGTTGGTTATGTGGTTACTGCCTGATTCACTTGTATATATATACACTCCTTTATCAATAATAAAGTTAAGTCATTTTTCCATATTCAGTTACATGGTATCCAGAGCCAAACACAAGCCCCTTTTCGTCTTTTTTCTCCCTTCCTTTTTCCTCTCTTCCAGTTTCTCTCTGCTATGCTCTATCTGTCCTTTGTTTTCTCCGTCGCCCTCTTCTTCCTCATTCCTTCTTGGCGACCGAATCTGATCCTTCAACTGATCAATCCAGTCCTTATTACATCCACCCGAGCAAGAATCCTACTCTTGTTCTCGTCTCTCCACCACTTGATGGTTCCAATTACCACGGTTGGTCTCATGCCATGAAAATGGCTCTGCTGTCGAAGAATAAACTAAAGTTTGTAGACGGCTCGATTTCTCGTCCCTCCGCTTTTGAGAAGAATTTTCCGGCATGGGAACGGTGCAACAACCTCATTCAAGGTTGGTTAACCAAGTCGCTTTCCCCTACGATTGCCTGAAGCCCCCTCTGGTTCGATACGGCTGTCGAGATCTGGAATGATCTGAAGTCAAGATACTCTTAGTCTGACATCTTCAAAATCGCAGAACTCCAGGAAGAAATTTTCAGTCTCAAACAAGGGACTCTTACTGTAAGTGAATATTACACTCGCTTAAAAATCCTCTGGGATGAGCTTTCTAATATTCGATCGGTTAAATCCTGCACCTGTGGATCCACCGAAAATGCACAAACTTATCGAGAGCAGGATTATGTAATCAGATTCTTGAAAGGTCTTAATGAGCAATATGGTGGTGTTAAGTCCCAAATCATGCTCCTTGATCTACTTCCATCGATCAACAAGGTTTTCTCTTTAGTATTGCAACAAGAAAGAGAGCTTCATCCTCCTTTATCGGTACCTGTTGATCCAAAAATTCTGCTAGCTAAGGGACCGCAGCATCCTCCACTCAAGTCTTCTGGAGGACCTACCAAACAATGTTCCTATTGTGGGAAATTGCGTCATACGGAAGAGACTTGCTACAAGAAACATGGTTTCCTTCTAGGCTTCAAGTTTCGATCCGGCTCCTCTACCGTGGTGAATAATATTACCTCTCAAGATTTTGGTCCTGTTCAAGATACTAATGCTGCTAAGCCTCTCCTGCTGCTGACTCCTAATACTGCTTCGGTCTTACCACATTTATCCTCTAAGCAATATCAACGCCTTCTTGCCTTGCTTGCCTCTCCACAGACTGCCTCTGTCAACCACCTTTCCACTTCCTCTTTTCCACCAGCTACAGGTAAATGCAATTCCCTTTCTTCTACCTCCATAGTTACTTGGATCATTGATTCCGGAGCTACTGATCATGTCTGTTGTTCACTACATTTTTTCACATCTTACCATTCTATCTCTCCTATTCAAGTTAGTTTGC